GAGTCTTCACATTCTCCGAAAAGTTCTGGGTGGGTTTGAGTAGGCAGCGCTTCCTGTGGGAGAAGTCCCAATCGCTGTCTGGGCTGCGTGTAGAGGGGGCAAGGGCTCCGAGCTTATGATGAGCCAAACCAGCCTGACTGTGCCAGGATCACTGAAACCCTCTTGGCTGCATTTTTTAATATTAATCTGTTATATCAATGATTCATTTCTAGAGCGTATGTTCTGTGTGCTTGTGTAGCTGTAACACTGCTGAAACAAAAATTTCTTAAGCTGGGATTTGAAAGTGGATATAGTGGGATTAAATTTCACGTTTCAACACGGGGAACTGTAAATAGACGTTGTTGATGAGATCAGAGCGTTCATTTAGGAGAGTAAATCGATTAGGGTTCACTGAGGTATGCAAGTGCAACGTTGTTATAGCACTTGTAGGCATTGTTGATGATCATATAGTTGACTCGTGCAGCAACTGGCAGCCAGAGGAGCTCCATTAGATGTTAAGGGACATGGTCAAACTTTGATTATTATACTAGCAGCTGTGTTCATGATGGCCTGAAGTCTGTTAAATTGCTTTTTGGTTACATTCACAAGGAGACTGTTACAATAGTCAATTCTGGATATGATTAGAGACAATACAAGTTTTACTGCATAGGATTATTTTAGATATGGCTGATTTTTTCCACTATTTCTGAGGTGGTAGTTAGCTGTTTGGCACACCCTGGTCACATGATGGTTCATACACAGATCCTGGTCTAGTTCTGCGCCCAGATTCCTCACCTTGTCAGAGCGAACAATGCCTGCATCAACTATAAAAATTGTTGAAAATCAGTACACTGCTGAATTTGACGTTTGGGACCCATCTTCCCGAGGCAAGGGAGTTAACTGACTGAATAAGAGCAGTTTCCACTTTTACAGTCAGTTAACTGCCTTACCCCAGGAATATGTTTGGGACCTATCACAATAAATTCTGTTTTGTCCTGGCTAAGTTTTATTTTTTATGTCATCCACTGCATTATATAAAGAAAACAGCTTGGAATCTTGGCTACACAATCTTCACCATTGCCATGTGAGAAACCAACATACAGCTGCTTTTCATCAGGATACTAGTGTTGGTTGACTTCGTGCTTGACAGCTGTGTTGCTGAGAGATCGTGATTATAGCGTAAACAGTATTGGTCCAAAGACAGAGCCTTGAGGGACACCATGGTCAAGCTTGTAGGCAGGACATCGGTTTGAATTCTGTCGCTGAAATAGGTTCCACACTAAGCTTGGTCAGTGTCGGTGATGCACATGTAGCGGCCATAAAATTTCCGAGTCCCGTGTTGGGATTCGAACCACGGGCCTTCTTATCCGAGGTCGGACGCCTTGTCCACTTGACCAAAGAGGTTAACCCCGGGCCGCATAGTAGGGTACTGAGGCTTATTTTGCTCAAATTTAAATTGAACGTGCTCAGCTTAACCTTGGGCGCCAATGTAGCGGCCATAAAATTTCCGAGTCCCGTGATGGGATTCGAACCACGGACCTTCTGACCGAGGTCGGACGCCTTGTCCACATGACCAAAGAGGTTAATCTCGTCAGCAAGCTGACAAGGTAAGGATGCATCTGTGGGACGACTCCACGCCCTGCTACACACAGATCGTGTTATTAGAAGTGGATGGTTGACCGTATAGAAAGAATGATACCGACAGGTCTAACAGAACTAGTGCCATTATCTGTTCATGATCCACAGCAGTTGAGGTGTCATTCGTGACCCTGATCAAGGCAGTTTCCCTACTGTGTCCATACTGTGTCCATACTGTGTCTAAAGCAGATCATAACTTTCCATGATACAAGTCATTTCAGGTGCTCCAGGAGACGAGTGGCATCTGCTTTTTCTAGTAGTTTGGATAAATACGGGAGATTGGAGACTGGTCTATTACTTTTGAGAATGTTCTTATTCAACCCTACCTTCTTCAGTTGTGGGCTGACTAGAGAGTGTTTGAATGAGGACTCTGTACCTGTCATCAGAGAGGTGTTTAAGTACTCTTGTAGAAGAGGGCAGTCAAGGCATTCCAACAGCAGGTATCGGATATCGGATAATGATCTGAGCTTTTTATAATCCACTTGACTACTTCCTCTCAGGGGACTACTTCCTCCTCAGAGAATAGTTCAGGCAAAGAAGGACAGTTACATGCATGGTCTGTAGAGTTCGCCTCAGTGAGCTTGCAATGAACAGTGTCAATTTTCTCCTTGAAATAAACACCAAATGCTACTGATATTTCAGCATCTGAGGATAGATCAGGTAGACCTCTATCCGTCATCTTGTTCCTGAGTTGCCATGTTAAAAAGTTTCTTGTTGTTAGATTCGGACTCTCAGAGTTGATGATTAACATATTTAACTTTTTCTTGACGAATCATGTTCTTCACTTTATTCTTTTGAGATCGACTTTCGGGTTAAAGGGTATGGGGCTTGGTGTTTTCAAAATATAATCTGCTCCTGAAAATCCTTGAAAATATAAAGTGTCCACAGATCTCTCAAAACATAATAAATCGTTAGCAACTCAAGTTCAACATGAAACATAGATACGCATTTTTTATACAAACAAATACTAATACACAAAATTCTTATTCCCAAAATTCGCATGAACGTTTTAATAAGAAATATAGTTTAATTTTTCTATTATGCCAGACGGAAAAAAACAACTGTGCTTCATATAAAGTGGTGTGAATGTTATGTTACTAAAATCAACAACATAAAATGTAGTCATTCGTTTGACCAATGTTTTATCATAACGAATAAATTGACAAAACCCATACCTTGTAACAGGAGAAAGAGTTTTACAAAGAGACCCGAGTGCCATATTCGATCAAAAGCTTTCTCGTTATCTAGAAATCCTGTGTAGATACATGATCCCCTGTTAACATAACTTTGTACACATTCGATGAGGGTAAATAGCGACATAACAGCACCGTGCTCCTTCCTTAAGCCAAACTGCAACATATCGGGAAAATTACAGGCATTTCGAGATGTCCACGTTTCTATTCTTTCTAGGAGAATTTTCTCAAAAAGCTTACTAAGGCAAGATGTTAGCGTAATACCTCTATAATTGACAGGGTTTGATTTATCTTTTTTACCCTTATAAACAGGTATAATTGCCCCGTATCTATAGGCTGCAGGTGTGTACTGAAATTTAAGAATAGCATTAAATAATAGTGCTAACTTCCCTACCAGTAGCTCAACACCAAACATCACATGTTCATTAATATTGTCAGGGCCAGGTGATTTGTTCCTCCTCAGTGCCTGTACATATCTAGTATCACTTCTTGAACCGATATTTCAGCACATAGTACATTATCAACACATGAGGTAGATTCATTACTGGAGGCTAATTTCTGAATTTCATTGTCAATACCATCTTTAAAGTCTTGATCGAACTGGTCGGGGTCATATGGATTTGCTAGATCCGCATAGTACGTATTCACAGCAGTATCACAAGTGTTTTTCTAATTCCAAAAAAATCTTTGAATAGGCCTGCTTTGACTGCCTGTGACGACGTCGGAATTCTCGCTTAGCTTGTTTGTATGAGGTATAAGAATGGAAATTATCCCCCCTTGGTTTATCCTCGGATAACTATCTCCGCCTTGCAACTCGCATGTTATTATGGTCTTGGTGTAGCCCATCCTGTTTCCAGTAAGGCTTTAGATGAGCCTTGAAACTACCTACTGGTATAGACTGTCTACTGGCATCAATCATACATTTACTGATCCCCGTATTAAATGATTCAATATCATCACGTGTATCTATTAATAAACAAGTCTCTGCATTGCTTAGCAGTGTATCAAGACAGACCTTGTACGAAGAGATCTCAATATTGGAAGCTTTGTCCCATTTAACAAAACATGCTTCTTTAACCTTTTGCTTTACATTATCATTTACATGTACTTGTATGGTAGCTACACATGGGAAGTGATCGGATACATCATAACTCGTGAATAGCACTTCACTTGAGCTAATGTTACTCTGCAAATGGAAGGAATCAGGATATAATCAATTAGAGACTTGTTTATGTTATCTTTGCTCCTGAAAGTGTATGAGCTAATGGCTTGAAAAGTATTCACTAAATAACGAGTGCTAACAAAGTAAGACAGAAGTTTGTCACGTGGTAACATTAGGCGCTTACATATATCCGTGTTAATATTTGTCTTATGCTGTTAAATAACATCAACTGACCTGCAAAGTAATTTTTTAATGAGCGTCTCATCATACAAATACAACATACATCCGGGGTTTTCAGCAACCCATATTTGCTGTATAAGGCGACTATGCTTGTCGGAAGAGGCAACTAATGGGATCGGGTGGTCAGGCTCGCTGACTGGGTTGATGCATGCCATTGTATCCCGATTGCGTAAATCGATGCTCATGATGTCAATCACTGCATTGACTGGTCCAGGCTCGATTATTTACAGACTGCCGTCATATAGCTGGAATATTGTTGAGTGCAGCGTTAAACAACAGACAAAAACGGGTGTGGATTTGGGTTCCGAATAGGTTTATCGATTGCTTGCCGTAAGATTTACTAAATTATAAAGGGCGATCAGCCTGTGACTGCTGGAGTCCGTGACATCATACCCTGACGGCGTGGATGCTGCTCACGCTTTCAACATCTGGTGTGCCTTGCCTTGTGATTATGTACATGTCGCCGTGATAGAGCTTCACTATTGCGTCGTTAAACAACACTCAGTCATTCCATTCAAATAGTTGTTTTACATATACATTTGACACGACGTTTTGCGTCTCGAATGATTATAAGGGTATTAGACTCGTGAAGATCCGGGGTAGAACAGGTCTTCAGCAACCCATGCTTGCCGTAAAAAGCAACCAGGCTTGTCGTAAGAGGTGACTAACGGGATCGGGTGGCTGACTTGCTGACTTGGTTGATACATGTCATCGTATCCAAATTGCGTGGATCGAGGCTCATGATGTCAATCACGGAATTGTCTGGACCAGACCCATTTATGTACAGGCCGCCGTCATATAGCTTGAATATTGCTGAGTGCGGCGTTAAACAACAAACAAACAAACCTTAATGCATTATCTATAAGGGACACGGTGTGATTACGGATCGGCATTATTTCGGGGATGGGGACAAACGTTACAAACTCGTTATGAATGTGACCAGATGTGTTGAAATGGATTCGAATAAGCCTTTTTGCATTTCGACACGTTTGCTGTTGTCTAGTATCATCACTCAATTAAAGGGTAATGTTAGTGAGTGTTGAAACGGAAGATGTTAGAGGTGAGAACAGCTTTTTTCGTATATTTGAACATGAGCAAATCTTTGACCTAAACTGATTTTCTTAGGTGATACAGACAAATACAATACAAAACTGTCGCAAAGAAATCATACTTGCGTAGTTGTTTTTATTTCAGCAATTGACAACTAGCACTTTTCATTCATTTAAGCCACACTTATAGACTTGATCGTGTTACATCTTGGCATGTGTAAAAGACTAGTTGTCTGCCGTTTGAACATGGCTGGTTATTTTCAAACCAACATTTGCAGCTTGACGTTTAATCAAATGCTTATTTCCACCCGATTGTAATAAATCGGATCCGTATTCAAAACACATTCGTTCTGACTGAGTTCCCTTAGACATACAGCTCCCTTAGACACAGAGCTCCCTTAGATATAGAGCTACCTTAGATATAGAGTTCCCTTACAGAGAGAGATCCCTTAGACACAGAGCTCTCTAAAACATAAAGCTCCCTTAGACATAGACTTCCCTTAGACATAGAGATCCCTTAGACACAGAGCTCTCTAAAACATAGAGCTCCCTTAGACATAGACTTCCCTTAGACATAGAGATCCCTTAGACACAGAGCTCTCTAAGACATAGCGTTCCCTTTGACACAGAGTCCCCTTAGATATAGAGCTCCCTTAGACATAGAGTTACGTTTGACACAGAGATCCCTTAGATATAGAGTTCCATTTGACACAGAGCTCCTTGGATATAGAGATCCCTTAGACATAGAGATCATTTAGAAATAGAGCACCCTTAGACAAAGAGATCCCTTAGACACAGAACTCTCTAAGACATAGAGTTCCCTTAGACATAGAGTTCCCTTAGACACAGAGCTCTCAAGACATAGAGTTCCCTTAGACATAGAGCTCCCTTTGACACAGAGCTCCCTTAGACATAGAGATCCCTTAGACACAGAGCTCTCTAAGATATAGAGTTCCCTTTGACACAGAGTTCCCTTAGATATAGAGCTACCTTAGATATAGAGCTCCCTGAGACATAGAGTTACGTTTGATACAGAGCCCTTTAGATATAGAGCTCCCTTAGACATAGAGTTACGTTTGACACAGTGATCCCTTAGATATACAGATCCCTTTGACATGGAGCTCTCTAACACATAGAGTTTCCTTAGACTCAGAGCTCTCTCAGACATAGAGCTCCCTAAGACATAGAGCTCCCTTTGACACAGAGTTCCCTTAGACATAGGTATCCCTTAGACGTAGAGTTACCTCAGACATATCATCATGTGAGTGTTTGCTATACTACCCTGGGATTGAGCGTTTGTTTTACTACCGTGGGATTTACAGCTTGCCGCCATAACCATGTTTTACTACCGTGGGATTTACATCTTGCCGCTATAACCATGTTTTACTACCGTGGGATTTACATCTTGCCGCTATAACCATGTTTTACTACCGTGGGATTTACATCTTGCCACTCGAACCATGTTTTACTACCGTGGGATTTACATCTTGCCGCTCGAACCATGTTTTACTACCGTGGGATTTACATTTTACCGCTATAACCATGTTTCACTACCGTGGGATTTACATTTTTCCGCTATTACCATGTTTTACTACCGTGGTTTTTACATCTTGCCGCCATAACCATGTTTTACTACCGTGGTATTTACATCTTGCCGCCATAATCATGTTTTACTACCGTGGTTTTTACATCTTGCCGCTATAACCATGTTTTACTACCGTGGGATTTACATCTTGCCGCTATAACCATGTTTTACTACCGTGGGATTTACATCTTGCCGCTATAACCATGTTTTACTACCGTGGGATTTACATCTTGCCGCTATAACCATGTTTTACTACCGTGGGATTTACATCTTGCCGCTAGCTATAACCATGTTTTACTACCGTGGGATTTACATCTTGCCGCCATAACCATGTTTTACTACCGTGGGATTTACATCTTGCCGCTAGCTATAACCATGTTTTACTACCGTGGTATTTACATCTTGCCGCCATAACCATGTTTTACTTCATTTTGTAAAAGGTCCACTCGGTATTGTAATCTGAACATGAAGGTCCGCCGAACACGATGTCGCAGTTGTTGTCCAAGGTGAGGCTGTTGTAGTTGACGCCCCTACAACTGGCATAAAGGAAGCAGGTAAGTTGACAAGCTTCTGCGCTAGGCATCCTCATGTGCTTGATGGTAAAGGATATGATTCTTCTCTTCTTCTTGACGTCCATCGTTGCCATTTGCACTAAAAGAAATCCAAGAAAAGCAGCTTTATTAGGCTTCATGTGATACTTCCACATACTGGATTATGAAGTTTGTAAGGCATGGAGGTCCATTTGTTGGGGTGAAATGGGGTTTTACCTCGCTTCCAATATTAATGTAGTTATATAGCGATAGTAGGTGTGTGTGTGTGTGTGTGTGTGTGTGTGTGTGTGTGTGTGTGTGTGGCTGTGTGTGGCTGTGTGTGGCTGTATGTGTGTGTGTGTGTGGCTGTGTGTGTGTGTGTGGCTGTGTGTGTTTGTGTGTGTGTGGCTGTGTGTGTGTGTGTGTGTGTGTGTGTGTGGCTGTGTGTGGCTGTGTGTGTGTGTGTGTGTGGCTGTGTGTGTGTGTGTGTGTGTGTGTGTGTATGGCTGTGTGTGTGTGTGTATGTGTGTGTGTGGCTGTGAGTGTGTGTGTGTGTGTGTGTGTGTGTGTGTGTGTGTGTGTGTGTGTGGCTGTGTGTGTGTGGTTGTGTGTGTGTGTGTGTGTGTGTGTGTGGCTGTGTGTGTGTGTGGCTGTGTGTGGCTGTGTGTGTGTGGCTGTGTGTGTGTGTGTGGCTCTGTGTGTGTGTGTGTGTGTGGCCGTGTGTGTGTGTGTGTGTGTGTGTGTGTGTGTGTGTGTGTGTATGGCTGTGTGTGGCTGTGTGTGGCTGTGTGTGTGTGTGTGTGGCTGTGTGTGTGTGTGTGGCTGTGTGTGTGTGGCTGTGTGTGTGTGTGTGTGTGTGTGTGTGTGTGTGTGTGTGTGTGGCTGTGTGTGTGTGTGTGTGGCTGTGTGTGTGTGTGTGTGGCTGTGTGTGTGGCTGTGTGTGTGTGTGGCTGTGTGGCTGTGTGTGTGTGTGGCTGTGTGTGTGTGTGGCTGTGTGTGTGTGTGTGTGTGTGGCTGTGTGTGTGTGTGTGTGGCTGTGTGTGTGTGGCTGTGTGTGTGGATGTGTGTTGCTGTTTGTACTTGTCCGGACTGATGTCGATTTATAGTGCTAGCCCACTGAGATACCGTGCCGCAGTATAACATGAATACCCCACTCAGACACAGTATACGGACTCTGAGCGCCGGGAAGGGTAACGAGAGACACTATTCAAGTACCATCTTTTAAGGTATTTTGGTGTGATCGAACACCCGACCTTCCGCTCTCCGGACAGAGGCACACAAATCCAACCCACATTTCTTTCATTATATTAACATGTTGAATATTGGCGATCGTCTAGAATCTGATCATTTACCTTTGCGATTGACTAGTAAGTTCATTAAGGGTGTCACTAAGAAGTAACTAATATTGAATGACGAATTTTCGAACAATTTTCTGGGCAAGCTACAAGGAATTATAACATATTTAAACAGTTACTTCTCTATAAACTTGATAATGATATTGAGGGGGCAATTGGTGACTTTGTTGAAATTATGTTAACTTCAGCATCTTGTATGAAAAAAAATTAACACTTACCATGGATGAAAATAAAACTTTTGTTACTGGATGTAGAATTGCAAGACGTAACAAAGCGCTACGAAGATTAGGAACTACTGGTACTAGTCTTGACAGAAAGAATTATTGCGAAAGTAGGAATAAATATAAACAATGCTGTCGGAAATAAAAATTTGATATGCGTAGACATAGACAAGACAAACTGAAAAAAATGTGTAGAAAACAAATACGATCTCTCAAAAATAGATCTTTTGCTACAGATATAATAACAAAATCGCAGTGGCTTAGTCATTTTAAGAAGTTTTTTTCAAATGATGCAAAATTCTCTACGGCAATTGATGATATGCACAATTATTTTTGTGAATGCTACACGGATGTTGATGAAGTTATGCTAGATTCACCCATTGTTGAAAACGAAATATTAGAAGCGATAAATCACCTCAAAAAGGGGAAAGAAGCTGGTCCTGATGATGTAGTTATCGAAATGTAAATTTTGAAGTAATGCCTTTTCTTTGCAAATGTTTCAATGAGTTATTTAAAAATAGATTTTTACAATCAATTCGTCTCTAATAATCCCCCTGCATAAAAAAGGAGACAGGATTGACCCAGATAACTAAAGAGGTATTTCATTATTGAGCATTTTAGGAAAAGTATTTACTGCAATATTAATTAGTATTTCTTAATTGGCGAACGTGCGTGATAGGATTCATGAATTTCAAGCTCTCTTCAGAAAAAAGTTATTCTACCTCAGATCATATATTTACACTTTATGCACATATTCCAAAATCCTTGTCATGTAGCATTTGTAGATTCCAAAAGGCTTTTGATTCTGATTCCATTTTACAATGATTATATAAAAGGATTATATAAAAAGTATATTTAATAGCAATCACCGATAAACGACTTTGTAGTTATTCTGACGACAAAGAACGAATCTAATATATTAAATCTTTCTCTATATATTAAGCATGCATTAGCCAAAAGAAATGAATAATCAAACAACGTGTATATCCCAATGTGTAACATTTTTGATTGTATCTACATGCGTAACTCTCTCTCTTGTATATCGGCCGGAGGCCTTTTGTACAATTTACTTCTTTTGACTTTGACCTATCCACCACTCACACATACACCTTCCAAACCCAACCATCCAGCCACTCACTCACACACCTACCCAACCGTCTCATCCAACGACTCACCCACACACTAACCAACCCAACCATCCAACAACTCACACACACACCTACCCAACCCACCCGTCCAACCACTCACCCACACACTAACCAACCCAACCATCCAACCACTCACCCACACACTAACCAACCCAGCCATCCAACCACTCACCCACACACTAACAAACCCAGCCATCCAACCACTCACCCACACACTAACCAACCCACCAATCCAACCACTCACCCGCACACTAACAAACCCAACCATTCAACCACTCACCTAACCAACTCACCCATCCAACGTCCCACCCACACACCTACTCAACCCACCAATCCAACCAATCACTCACACAATAACCAACCTACCCGCCCAACCACTCACCCACACACTAACCAACCCATACAACCACTTACCCATACACTTACCCAACCATCCAACCACTCACCCACACACCTACCCAATTCACCCATCCAATCTCCCACCCACACACCTACCCAACCCACCCATCCAACCATTCACCCACACACTAACCAACCCATACAACCACTTACCCATACACATACCCTACCCATCCACCAACTAACCTACCCAACCCACCCATCCAACCATTCACCCACACACTAACAAACCCATACAACCACTTACCCATACACTTACCCAACCATCCAACCACTCACCCACACACCTACCCAATTCACCCATCCAATCTCCCACCCACACACCTACCCAACCTACCAATCCAACCACTCACACACACACGAACCAACCCACCAATCCAACCACTCACTCACACACTAACCCACCAACCACTCCAATCACTCACTTACCAACCTACCCGACTCACTCATTTACAATTTCCTCACAACCAAACCATCCTCCCTGTCACTCGCATCTGTACCTTCCTCACAACTACATCAACAACCAATCAATCTACCCACACACCGACTCTCCAACTCAATATCAAGATTAACTGACATAAAGGTCAAACAGAATTGCACAATACGTTTCAGCAGATATTGACAATACGACGTTACCGTTGGTGCCGTTTGACGCGTAGTTTCCCAGTCCCCCAGACTTGACACAATACGACATGTCCAGGGACAGAGGTGGAGGGGGGTCTGTCCAATTCTGGAAACAAGATATCGGTATCAGTCGATATCGGCAGACAACGACAACGCTGTTGTCAACACTGCGACACAGGATGTGATTGCTGCCTGGGCATCACGATCTCCCTAGATTGTCATTGCACTAACATTTACAGTGTGTGGCATGGATGAGACTTACATGATGCTTTTGTTGTCACAGTGGCTGTCGGAAGGAAATACAACGTTTTCACTTTCAACCTTTTCCGCCCGATGGCAATACCAATTATGAAGGCCACATTTATAGCGCAACACTTCACACTAGATATACTCTAAGCGCATGAAAGTACAGTGAGAGAGTTTGGCTGACGACCGCTTTGAACAGTATTTCAGGTATATCAATCCTCTGCTTGTCGTAAAAGGCGACTAACAGGATCGGGTGGTCAGGCTCGCTGAGTTGGTTGATGCATGTCATCGATCCCAATTGCGTGGATCGATGCTCATGATATTAATCACTGGATTGTCTGGTCCAGACTCGATTATTTACAGACCGTCGTCATATAGCTGGAATATTGCTGAGTGCTGCGTTAAACAACAAACAAATTAAAATCAGTTATATCACGGCCGCTTAGCTTGATGTGTAGGAAGGTCTGACATGCAGATCATACATGTTTGTCACTTTGGTGAAACCCATGAAACGACCGATAACTCGATATATTTTTTATGCTCAATAAATCTCTCCTTGACATTCTTTCATCGAAGTTATTGTAACAATATCGCTTTACCTTTGACGTGACTGTTTCGATCAATGCGGAGCCGAAAGTACCGTGGTCACCGCTGCCGATAAGGTATGCTGTAAAATACCCCCCGTCGCTGCTAGATATGCTGTGCACAGCATCATATCCCTCTACTGGTACAAAACACCCAGTTTCCATCGTACCACCTACCGCCATGCACAGCGTTTCGTTTGGGGGGGATTCGCCGTTCAACAATATCCCTCCCTGGGGGACGGCAGGTACTACAATATAGTGCTCAACGTTGTCATTTGTGTCGTCACTTATAAGCGTGAAGGTATATTGAGAAACATTCCCTGCAGAATGTGCGACTATGAAAGCTGGAGAACTAGATTCGCCATTTTGAATCACCATGGCAACAAGTATTGGATATGTCGCGCTGATTGTATGGAAACTGTCTCCAGAAACGTTGACATCAATATAATCCCCTTCTCCATTTATCGTTACTGTATTTACACCATCGACGGTAACATCTGTTAACCCAGATGCTGCTACAATCCGACAAACGCAACTTCCGTTTCCGCCCGGAAACCCGAAAACTGTGTAACTTATTGCGAGACTGTCTAAAGGTACCATGTGGTCCATGACGTTGCTTTCAGCAACTGCTCCCGCTATTACTGAGACATCTTTTGAGGACGTAATTTTGGTTCCTGATAAGTCAGATCTCGACTGAATTTGCATTACATATCGCCTACTGCCCGAAGATTTACACGAAATACTCTGCCCAGTGACGTTACACTTTGTTTCGTTGGTAAATCTGGAAAATATTTCTTCAACGTCAATTCCATTTTTAAAGGTCACGTCTAAAGCTGCATCGTTAAAAACAGCAGAAATGCCGATCGTCGAATGCCATGTTTCTGCAGCGTTCGGAGCAAAATATGAGACGGTTATATACTCTTTAGATAGTTGTGAAATGTCTCTCAACTGGTACATTGAATGGTCAGTCTTGATGAAAAGGGCGGCTGCATCTGAAGATACGATGACGAGGATGTTGCCAGACTCTGCCTCTTCGGGTGACATTCGCACCGAGGTTGGCAATGGTATACCCTGCATGGTGTTGGGATCCAAACTGGCCTCCTTGAAAAAGCCAAAAGCCCTCATCCACATCTGGACTGGTCCTTGACTTGTTGATGCAAGGAAGATAATATCTGTGTCGTTTGATGCGGTTGCTGTGATCATTGATGAGTAGGTTTGGGTCGAAGCAGATGGACAAACTGAAAAAGAGTAAATTAAGTTATGTTGTTGAAGAATATTCAAGCCAATTGTTCATAAACGAAAGTATGCTTCCCAACTTTTGACATACATGTATATCATGGCGTATTTCCCTTATACGCCATGATACTAGGTTTGTGCCTTTGATTGGTGTGTTGAGTTCTGCCACAGACAGTATTAGTCTTGCCTGAACCACGGCAGCCTGGATATAAAAGAATCTTGGCGAGACAAAATTGTGGTTGATATTACTAACGCCTTCGAAGTAAGATGACACCAATGAATCAAGTCACCGAGCCTGAACACCCGATTCCTTATGTCGCATAGATACTGTGGGGGCGGTCGGGTAGCCGAAGACCCGGGTTCGAATCCCGACATGGGTACAATGTGTGAAGCCCATTTCTGGTGTCCCTCGCCGTGATATTGCTGGAATATTGCTTAAAGCGGGGTAAACAATACTCACTTACTCATAGATACTTTGATCAAATAAATCCTGGATTCCATATGGGGCGTTGGGGTAAGGGTGGGTTTTACGAATTGGACTGATACCTTTACCATGGTCCTTTTCGGAATTGTAAGAAGGATTAAACTTCATGTATCACTCAAGGCGTATACAAAAATTAACCTTAGCCCCTAAACCCGAACAATAAAATAGTGCGCTGTAACTCACATGGATATGTACTCATCAGTTTAAAACGTAACAAAGTCACACACTTAAAACTATATGCTGTCAGCATTGATATTCATATATGGTCTGCACAAACACTAAGGACTAAATACTGACACTACAATTTACAGATTTGAACAAAATAGTGTGCCATCATGAGGTTAAAGATGTCAATGTGCAGCTTCCTGAGCCTCTCAATTGCAGAAGAGAAGACGTTTACAGAGCCATTTTGAGAGCATGAGGAACGGCCATAAATAGTCTTTTTTCAATATGGCCGCGATGGAGGTCATATTGAAAGCTGGATTCAAACATGGTCCAAAGGTTAAAACAAGGTACAGATATAAAATATCGTGAAAAACGAAACATATGTGTCGATTCCCACTTCTAACAATGAATAAAGCTATGTCTGAGTAATGGCCGTTTATCCATATCAGGTATTGATTCAGCGTTACTAGCGTTTATAGATTCGAATTCATATCTTGAGGCAACGAACGGTGATAAGAGTGGTTTCGCAAAGTTAAGTAACTGATATTATATACTTAATGTTCCATGTATTCAGTAGAGAGGGATAAGCATTTACGTTAATATTTCAGTCATGTAGCGATAGGGAACACCTTATACATTCACTAAGAACATGCATAGGGATACAGCTAGTTAAATATCATAGACTCAATATAAAACAAGCGACATAGATGAGAGCAGAAAAACATCCTGACATAAAAACATTCCGATAGGAAACCTCATTCACTAAGAACATGCATAGGGATACAGCTAGTTAAATATCATAGACTCAATATAAAACAAGCGACATAGATGAGAGCAGAAAAACATCCTGACATAAAAACATTCCGATAGGAAACCTCATTCACTAAGAACATGCATAGTGATACAGCTAGTTAAATATCATAGACTCAATATAAAACAAGCGACATAGATGAGAGCAGAAAAACATCCTGACATAAAAACATTCCGATAGGAAACCTCTGTTAAAGCAGTGTCCATTGTAAAATGCAGACTATATAAGCACGTGTTTATGAATCAGGTGTGGTGATAATAGGTATTCGCGAAAAGGTGCAAACACATGTAATGGCAAGTCAGTTCTTTACCTGAAACTAAACACGTGACCCTGATCAAACAACCTTTGAAATCTTCCTAGAAAGAGCATGCTCATGTAACATTATACACCAAATTGTCAAGGCAGGAGAATCACCAGTCTAGATTCCATTTGGCGTAAAGGGCAAAAATAGCAGTGGCATTTATATGAATTGAGGACTGAAAATCAGTGATTGCACCAGGTGGACAACAGGGTAAGCATGTCCTGCCCAACAGGTAAAACAAAAGGCTGGAGCTGATAGCAATATCGATATCGCTAGACATGAAGGGAAAGTTGACGTTTGGACATTGTATCACCCCTGGACAGTAATTTCTCTCTCTCTCTGAATCTTTATGCACAGGTGTGATAGTGGTGTACAAGTTGAAAAATTAAATGTTTTGACATAATTGAACTTTGTGCTTATTGTAAGATTGCAAAAACTCAAGCACATCCGTAGTGGTCCATGCACGTTTGTGGTGACAAATCAAAGTTCAATTCCTAGTTAAGAAGGTGAATACATGGTTGTTGAATTTTATTGATACTTTTTTTCACGAAAACATAGTTATTCAAAACTAAACTTGAAAGCAAACAAACTATACAGTTTATTCGCCACCGCCAACAAACTGATCATTAGGGGCATATTTCAAAACAAACTATACATGTAGTACACACACACACACACACACACACACACACACACACACACACACACACACACACACACACACACACACACGCACGCACACACGCACACACGCACGCACGCACGCACGCACACACACGCACACACACGCACACATGCACACACACACATACACACACACACACATATATATATATATATACACACATACATACATACACATATATACACACATACACACACATACATACACAAACACAAACACACACACACACACACACACACACACACACACACACACACACACACACACACACACACACACACACACACATACACACAAGCCTTAGTTAGCAAAATGTACTTCTGCGAAACGATTCAAAATGTCAGCGGAATAAAATACATCATAAAGCTACTGATCGCCTAGCGCCTCCATCTTAGCATCTTACCGGATCGTACGTCACATGAAGCTGTGCTGGTAATTAACTCTTGGGGGTACTGGAGGACGACATCTGAATCATTGTTCCGGATTATTTAATGCACAATATATAGACCCTAAAGCAACTGTCACAGTGAGCGGATTGCCTGCTCTACGTCGCAAGCACAACGATGAATGACAGGTGAGAGGAGCTCCACCTCAACATCAGGGCGATTCCTCCGAGCCGCACATCCTGCTCGCGGTCGACTCCTTACATACCTTAGCTTCATAAAGTTTGGTAGTTTATATTATTTGTCATTTTTTTACACTCTATTTTTCAATTTATTTCACATTCACATCTTATTTTACAATTTATTTTGCATTTTTATTTTGACTTGTACAATATGTTAAGGTAACCGTTTTCGCAGGTGACTTGCCTTTACATGTGTTTGTGACGGGGCCACCGGTGGGGCAGGATGCGCTCACCTTTTCGCGAACACTTGGAATCATCACTATTTAATAGTGATTCATAAATACAGGTTCCCAATATAGTCTGATCTAGTCAATCGACTCTGCCTTTGACCGAGACTTCTCAGTATTTTGACAAGGTTTTGCCACTTTTATATAAAGTTACACAAACCTAAACACGTACAATTAAATATTACAACTGCTCATTTAACTAGAACGCGTTAAGAAGATATCAGATTGGAATTAAGAACAAGAGGATGAGTATTGGCCCACTTGACTTAAGCTGTTATAAAGTAAGAGCTGGGTATCATGGCGCTGGTTGACGAGGAAGCGACATTGAATGGTTGGCACAACCCCAACTTATATGATAATACACTATACATAAACGGTGGGAATATGTTAAGTTGTAACTGTCACACTGTGACAAAAGCAAGAACAAATGAAGGCATAAAACGTCCGCTATTCCCTAGGGCCGGTATACTTGGAGTATCGTCGGTCAAGATGTAAACATTCTGTGCTTGGTCTTAACGTATATCAGTGTCTTATCAAAATCTTAAAAGTTTGGATACACAAAAATGGTTAATTAGTAAAAGTGTTCTTCATCTGCATATTGTCATTTCGTCTGTCTACATAGATAGCTTGGCAACAATGTAAACTATTGATCCTTTAACCATCAAACCAGGGACTGTGATCATCGATAGTTCGACAAGCCATTGTAGGAACTCATGTACCATAACTACTTATTCAATTTTCATATTGTTCCTTTGCAACTGTACACTGGTTTTATAAAGGAACTATGTCGACGAAACAATTGTCATCTCCAGCCGTTGTCAAGTTTTGAGGTCAACAATATTTACCTAATCAACAGAATTCAAATGAAAACGCGCTCTTTGCTGTTGAGACACCTGCGACAATAGAACCCTTCATATAAATTTCGTTAGACATTGTTTTGAACTTTTAGATACTCTTTGATATAATGTCTGATAGTTTGTAATACAAAGTAGGCACGGTGTGGGGGCATTGTTATATGACATGAGATTGGGATAACCAATTCCATCATTGATCGTGGACTTTGTCGCATTTCGGGGTAAACAACGGATCCAAGTGATGCTTGATCTTGAAGCAAATTTTCGATTGATAATCGATCTGTTTACAAGCGTAAACATCATCATTGAATTTAATGCAGGCTTGTGTATTTCTACAAACAAAAAGAGTTTATCTAAATGATAGATTCGATAGCACCCTGTTTGTTGTCAGCTCGGTAAAAATGGGCATTGGTACAGTGTATCATGGTTGCCAGGCAGCGATGTCCACTGTTTGTGCAATCAACAATTAGTTCTGCTCAGATAAATGTATTGTCAGTGAGTGAGTGTCTAAGTGAGGTACAGGTCTTGAGTGAGTAAGTGAGTGGGCGTTGTTTAACGCCGCACTCAGTAATGATATCACAGTGACTGAAAGCACGCGAAACCAAGAACGGGGCACGCTGTCAGTAAGTCTGACCATCCGATCCTCTCTAGTGGGATCTCGCGACAAGCATTGGATACAGAAGACAGATTTTGCATGTGAATACCCACGTCGACTCAGATAAGAGATATAGTTAAATTGTATTGTGGTCGGACTCCATGTAGTGTTGAACAGTATTTCAGTTATGTCTCGGGGTGTCAACTTAATGTAGGAGGAATGTTCAAACAGAACTTAAGGGATGGGATCTATAAAAGCGACAAAGCCCTTTCCATGGTCACATGAAATCCCTGCTAAAAGCAGAGTTGATTGTGCAATTTCAACTTTACATGGGCATGTGTTTCTGAATCACTATAAAACAGTGACAATACCAGCTGTTCGCGGAAAGGCGAGCGAATCCTGCCCAACCGGTGGCACCTGTCACAAACACATGCAAATGCGAGTCAAATTTGATCTAACAACTTTTAAGCGAAGGTCGTGTGACGCTCTTTGACATCGTCGTAGAACGATCATGCTCGATCGTACCTAAAACGGGGCGGTCGGGTAGCCTGGTGGTTATAGCGTTCGCTCGTCACGCCGAAAGCCCGGGTTCGATTCCCGACATGGGTACAATGTGTGAAGCCCATTTCTGCTGTCCTCCGCCGTGATTTGGCTGTAGTATTGCTAATAGCGGCGTAAGGCCATACTCACTTACTCGTACCTAAAATGTTGTGAAATGTGAAATGTAGACACCAAAGGAGGTGCTGAAATATTGCTCGACATAAAGAGAAAGTTGACTATTGGAAACTTGGAGTCATCCCTCTTGTCATTCAGGCGTGTGGAGAGTTTTTATGTCACTCAGAATCTTTATTCACAGATCTAAATACGAAACAGATGAGGAGGCTTAAGGTAAACTTCTTCAACGAAACTTCCAAATGACCTTGTTGTGACTTTGCCAATCCGAGCAGATATTAACATTCATATGCATTAAGAAACAGATTAGCAAGAAGGGGAACACAACGGGTACCCGTGGGTTAATGGGCTGCCTAAACGTAATATTCCCAAATTGTACATGGGTGTTATCAATGAGAAAGTCCAGCATTTCACATATTGTTTTCTCAGTAAATTTCAGATGGCATTTGCTTTCATTTTTGACACATTGTCCTGAACCTCTGAAGACAGATATGTAACTATATTTATTTTCACCACGACTGAATTGAAATTGGTTCTTTTCTGAGATTGCATAAATGTCAACCAAGTCCTTTTTGAATCTTTGAGAATCCACAGTGGTAATGATTGCAATAGTTCCAAATACTTTCTGTGAACATACAGAAAGTCCTTGCTTGATTGTAGTAATGATTGGTTAATTCTTTAAGAAAGGGATTTGGTGGTACATTTTCTGAACCCAGCAATATCTTTCTCTTTGTACGGATTGTTATGGAGCTATGGAGAAGTACAAAAGAGGATTGGACATGTATTCCTGTTTTAGAATCAAGGCAAACGTTGAAAGTACTTGTCTGTGGGAACAGACGCATCCTTGGTTCTTGGTCTTTAAATTCTCTTCAGAAGCAAATATGATGATCATAGACCTTAAAAGCCTTATTAAACAAATATTATAGATGAAGTTGTGGGAAATATTTGTTGAGAGTGAGATATTAGCTGATTTGGAAACAGTGAGCATGTCTATAACACCACGTTAAGCAATATTCCAGCAATGTCAAACCGGGGAATATCAGAAAAGTTTTTCACACATTGTACCCAAATGGGCTATCGAACCCCGACCTTCGGAATGACAAACGATCGCCTCTACTACTTGGCTATCCCACCGCCCCTGGTATAAAAGACCAGTTTGTTCCTGTTCTCGACACACTGTCGGCGTCCAGAAGGTTAATACATACATACATACATACATACATACATACATACATACATACATACATACATACATACATACAAACATACATACATACATACATACATACATACATACATACAATAAGTATGGTGTTATAGTGTTTTTAATAAATACATGTAATAATAGTTGACGATATGATATTATTCATATATGATATAATCTATTACAATGAAACGCTTGAACAAAAGAGTTTTTGGGTTTTGTATTGTCGGTAAATCAACAGTTGTTTAGCTCCTCATGTCAGAGTGGGGCGGTGGGGTAGCCCTATGGTTAAAGCGTTCGCTCGTCACTCCGAAGGCCCGGGTTCGATTCCCGACATGGGTACAATGTGTGAATCCCATTCCTTGTGTCCCCCCGCAATGATATTACTGGGGTATTGCTAAAAGCGGCGTAAAACCATACTTACTCGCTCACTCACTCACTCATTCACTCAAATGAACAGCCTTGTTTGAGTATCATATTCAGTTTCATTGCTAAACCTACTTTAGTATATATACATTTTACTGAACGCGTTAATATGATGTTATTTGCTTAACAATACAAAATATATTTAGACATAGCTTACGTTTATGTTTGAATATTTGAAGGTTGTTAGCGAAAACAAACGATGAAATAAATAAAACTAAAAAATGTAGAACTTATCCTTACCTGTTGAAAACGCGTCTGCACTGACAAAAAACATCAAGAAAATCATAAAACATGTTCTCTCAGCACTCCTGGACATCTTGCTTGGTTGAATGTTAATCTAGAATGCGGCAAATATGAACAGTTGTCTGATAATGTGTTAACCCCAAAGGACGTTACGTTTACAGCGATGGTATTGATCCAATGCAACAAGACTGGTTATGTGTAGGCACTCTTGAGGTTTAAACTATAAGCGGGGTGTATGTTTCCTTGGGTAAACGGTTAAGCTAGAACACATATTTAGCTCAACTGACTGATGACCAAATGAGCTTATTTCCCCGTGTTATGGGTTCTTGGGCTCTTAAGAAACATTCGTAGTTTCCTCGATGATCACAAGAACAACTGTAAAACATCTCACTCACATAAGAGACAACTTTATCTCAAAACAAGCCATCATCCGAGTATTTATGATGTCGATATTTACACATTTTAACTATTATGCACATTTTCAGACTTCATAATCCTACACTATAAAGTTTTTTGGGTTTTTTCAATAAGGGAAAGGAAGTGTGTGGTCTTATATTTAAAACATATAGTAATATTATTTCCTTTTATAAACTTGATATCTCTCGTTCCTTGAAAGTTCACATTTTTTTATAATATACTTTTGTTTTATCTACGTTGCACTTATCACACTATTTGCTAAAAATATATTACTATGTAGATTAACAATACTATCACCAAACATAAATGTCAATGCTCATCTGACAATAGAAAACGTACCCGTAAATGTTTGGTTTGTTTTCCCATAATGGCCTCGCCAATAGTAATTATTCATAGAAGGGGAACATTGAACTCGTATGTAGTCGGCCTAGTGGAACACGTTTCCTTTTGATCAACCATATTCTTCTGTCTTAAACCAATTATCGTGACAGCTGAACCTAAAACTGTTATGCAATCGTAAAACTATCTTGTTTTGTTCAAAGAAAAAATGAATATTTCATTCGGATGTCAATTGTCTTTTAACTGAGTTCATGTCAATCGTTATGGTGTTTCTAGATTGCTTTTGAGTTGAGAAGTTAATTATGTGGGAGGGGGAGGAAGGCCTGAAGTGATGCAGTCCATAGAGGTTTACCACTTGGGTGAAACCCATGACCATGGGTATGGCGCTGACTGTTTGGAACAGTATGTGTGATGAGTGAGTGAGTGAGTATGGTTTATACCGCTTTTAGCAATATTCAAGCAATATCCCGACAGGGGACACCAGAAATTGGCTTCACACATTGTACCCATGTCGGAAATCAAACCCGGGTCTTCGGCGTGACGAACGAACGCTTTAACCACTAGGCTTCCCCACTGCCCCGTGTGCTGAATACTGGAGGAAAGTGACGCAGTTATATGACGTTTTATGATAATAAAGTGAAACACACGCGTGCCACTGTTTGTCAGGCAAAGGATCATGATATTGTGCGAATATTGGATTCAAAACGTCCATCAGCGGATCCTGGAATGGTTAAGCGCCGTCAATCTGCACAGCACATTTCGGATCGGACGTTGGGCATCCCTGCCTCAATTATATGAGACATCATAATTTAGCAAGGAAAGTTTACATGTAGATACTGCTATCGTACAGCTGGAGAATATCGTGGGATTACGTTGACCTTTTCGGAAACGCCTGGGCTCATCAATATTTTATAGTGATTCATAAACACGTACTTATGCTAAAGCCGGAATCATAGCTTTCTTATGATAACTGAATGGGTTTTGTATCTTTTTCAGAAAGTTCCATTTAAAATACCTATCAAATACGGAGTGTTGATTTTTCCTCAAAGAACTTAGTCTTAAGTACTCACGGAAATGAAAAAAAACTTTTAAGTTAATATACAAAATATATAAATATTCAAACAACTCAATTACTTCTAATTGGGCCTTGGTTTTTATGTCTTTTTACAAGTAAAAGTGTGTAAAAATATGAACAAAACAGACTATTGTGAAACTGAGCATAACCAGGTGTTAGTAGATCAAGGTGAATGTCCGTGACCTATGACACCTTGACGACAGGTGAAAACAGGTGCTTGAAACCCACGTGCATGTGATTTGTCAGTGGTTAGTGATTTGTGAGTGACATTGTTGGAAAGTGAATCATCGTCAAAATATCAGAACGTAAAAGTAACATATTCCCTTCTCAAACAACAACTTACATGTCATTATTATTATGTACATAAACATAGCTGTTATTTTTATTGTTGTTTTGATAACCTTTTTTCCAGGCTAATTTGCATACTGCCTAAAGCCTGTTTCTGCCATGTCAATTTGGACTTAGTTTTATTTTTGAATGTTGAAAGTGCCTACAAATTACCTCCTGTAAAGTACATTTTGTATTGAGCACTGAGATAAAACTAGCAAATCCAGACTAGTACTTTTGTTATTTGTTATTTCGTATTTACATCTACGTAATGCTTTGTGTCGATTATTAAATCCAGCAAAACAGGGGTTTTTTTTCATTTCCATGAGTACTTTAGTATTTACATCCTTGCAACGGACATTCATTTGTATATGACATTTAGGAAAGGAATAGGCAAACTCTATGGGTACCAATTGTGTTCATGTTCTTGCTGACTGGTTTCGTGTTATATGAGACCATCTCATCTCTTTCATATTTATGAGACCATCTCATCTCTTTCATATTTAGATCTGTGCATAAAGATTCAGAGTGACAAGTGAGATGACTTAAAGTTTTCAATAGTCAAGGTTCCCTTTTTGTTGAGCAATAATCTAGCAGTTCCAGTTCTTGGTGTCTACATTTCACAATTTGAGAAGTAAAATCGAGCATGGTCTTTCTACCAAGATTTCAAAGAACGTCATACAACTCTTGCTCAAAAGTTGTCTGATCAAGGTTACATTCATTTCAAAACGTGTTATGGCAGACACGGGGAGGACAATTCAAAATTTGACACATCGACAAAAGTGATGTTCGATGCAATTCCCTATTTAGACTTGTAGCCCATGTTGCCGTGTTTTCTGCGGGTGAACAATTGGCTTGCCTTTGCATGTGTTTCTGACGGGTGACACCGGTGTGGCAGGCAGGATACGCTCACCTGTTCGCGAACACGTGATGTCATCACTATTTGAGGTTGATGCATGGTCGCATGCTCATGATAAAGTCGGCTTTAGCAGAGAGTTTTTGTGGCAATGGAAGGTGATTTCACGCTTTTATTTATACGTTTACATGCATATCATGGTTATGTGTCCACTTTGTGAATAGCCACGCGATAAAGAGTGTTGTTTAACGCCGCACTCAGCAATATTCCAGCTATATAACGGCGATCTGTAAATAATCGAGTCTGGACCAGACGATCCAGTTATTGATTTCGCATCAATCCACATAATTGGGATCGATGACATGCATCAACCAAGTCAGCGAGCCTTACCACCTTATCCCGTTAGTCGCCTCTTACGACAAGCATAGTCGCCTTTCACGGCAATCATGGGTTGCTGAAGACCTATTCTAATTCCTAACGTTAAATAGTAAACAGGTGTTATTAGATAGCGAAACTCCATATTTTGAGATAGGAAACATAGCGTGCTTTGCTAAATTAGCTATAAGAAGTATTTAGAGTTGGCGGAGAACTGAGTTCTATGACACCACATGGTAATGTAAATAATACTATCCCGTCTCTTTGTTCTGATGACCTTCAATCATTTATAAAAATAGTTTATTGATTAAGAGAGAGGAATTGCGAAAATTGAGTTATATTACCGTTGCCTAGTTGTGTTTATTTTCGCTTTTGCAATTACTGAATACAGAAAGAATTCTCATGTGAGTGAGTGAGTGAGTTTGGTTTTACGCCGCTTTTAGCAATATTCCAGCAATATCACGGCGGGGGACACCAGAAATGGGCTTCACACATTGTACCCATGTCGGGAATCGAACCCGGGTCTTCGGCGTGACGAGCGAACGCTTGAACCACTAGGCTACCCGACCGCCCCTAATTCTCATGTGTATGCATTGAAAATAATGTTAAACAATTAATACATGCACATTGTTAAGGATGTATTACGCATCCTTCGTCGTTAGGCTCAGAAACTCCCAGTAGAATTGTATCCATTGTAGTGTCAGTGTAGTTTCCTGAATTATTGCCGTACCTCATGCAGCGCTACTACATCACAGTAATCAGATAGAGAAATGTTGCATGGCCTATTGTACTTCTACACTTTTCATTGTCACTACGATGAAGCTGTCAGTTTAGCCCATCATTTATTTAGCATTCATGTAAAAAGATGACATGATCTTAGAACCTGTAATATTGACGAATGGCGTACAAAAATACATGTTTGTGGTTTGACACCAAAGATGTGTGCAACGTGACGTAGTGTTGACCCAATTTTAAGTGTGCCAATGCATCTAATTTATTCTTCGGTCGTCAAATGACGTCTTTGACGAATGACGTTTAACTTAATTATTTTGGAGTGCAAATGATGATACCCAAAATACATGTGTAACAGTTTGGCAATATGATGAGTACTTTCAGCTCAATGAGATATTATTGACTATTTGGGTTTTAAAAAAATGATTTTGATTTTGACATTAATTTAAAGAAACAAATAGCAAGAAATATTGCAAAAATATGTATAGCGTGTTAAAATGTAGTCTATACATGTCACAACTTTAGTCGTTTTGGCCTTGCTGTGTCTGACAAGATCAAGATTAATATAGTTCTCAATTTGAATAATCTTCAGTACTTGAACTAATAAGAGTCATTTCCTTCATTTTTTATTACATCTTCCACTATGCAATTCCCTATTTTGACTTGTGTCATATGTTCTCGTGTATGTTCACTTGAATACTTGATTTGCCCTTGCATGTGTTTGTGACGGGTCACTATTTCAGATTGGTTCATAATCAATGCTTATGATATTGTTGGAATTGTACTCTGGAAATTTCCTATGATTATGGAAACGGTTTTGAAGCTGTTATTCTGATTACTGAATCTTGGGGTTTCGAAAATAAGATAAATAAACATTGAAGTTTTGCCATTTTTCTAAACAATATATCTCAGATTAACGAGGGCTACACATCTTCCTAACAGTTAAAGGGGGCACGGGTGGCCCAGTCG